AACTTGTATATACGATCCATCGCTAAAGATGCTGGAGCCCTGTACAGCTCCAGTAAGTATTTGGCCCCTTCTGCTATCCTCTATCGAGACAAGAGCTAGATTAGGTCGATAATGAAATACTGCTGCCATATAATGGCGGGAGCTGCCCAGTCTTCACTTTCCAGTCTCGGTAGAGTCCAAAAGAGCCTCCGCGACCTTTTGAGTGACAACTTATTTTCTACCCTGCAATCACAGACGAAACGTCGTAATACTTTCACTACTTTATTTCCATGGAAAGTGTTCAGATAAACTACATTCTTTAGTTCCACCAATCCTAACCCTCACGGCTTAGACTCGCCTTGACACACATATTGTAGTTAACCACATTGATTCCCTTCGTATTCTACTGGTGAGATGTAACTTTCTTTCGGACAACTTCCATCGAACCGCTGCTTTGTGGAACCGACTCCCAAGATGATGCTTCCCCGATAACTACAATCTTAACCAGTTCAAGTCTAGGGTTAACCAGATATCTTCCCCGCATATCCATATAAACTGTACCTCTTACACTGTAATCCTCTACCCTGGGTGTCTCTTGTACAGATTATCATTGTAAAAAAATCTAATGTCGTGTCTTATATTAAGATATAAATACGGTTTAATTAAAAAAATTAATCCATTTCTGAAAAATAAATTCTCTTTGTTTACGTTAGGATACGATACAAAGAAGATTTTCGAGAATCGACAGAGAAGTGTGTGTTTAAAAGGCATTATTCGGGCGTTATATGACGGTTCTCCATAGTGGGTACAGGTTCGAATCTTGTCGGAGGACACATTTTTTTCTCGCAAGATTTCTCGAATTTTCAGGCCGGTAGATATAGTTGCATAAAAAATACTGTTTAATTAAAAAAAAAATCCAATAAAAAATAGCGTTTAAACAAAATAAATTTAAAATAACATACAGTGTGTTAGTAACCTTCATCGTGTGAATGTTACCTTCCTCTTGCATGGATATAAAGGTGTTGTGTAGGAACCTACCACCCCTCTTGAAGATTAACTCGTCTACAAACAAGGACGTTAAAATAGTGGCATGTCAAAAGACAGTGTTGGAGAAGTTCTGAGCTGAGTTAGTTATAGACTACTCAGGCGATATCTGTACCAACTTACCAACCGAATAAACCCCATTTTATTGTTACATGTTATTTGGCGTTTGTCTTTATTAACCCCAAATTAACATCATAACAAAAGGATACGGAATAATCGGGACGTGATGCTTAAATGAAATCGGGATATCAGAAGTACTTAATCAGCTGTCTCTCTTTTTTTTTTTTTTTTTACTTCATCGTCTAGTTCTTTGTTTGACCCCCAACTCAAATATGGTTGGCGTCAAAAAAATGAATTTATACTTTCTGATCCTTTTTTTTTTTTTTTTTTTTTTTTTTTTTCATATGACAATATTATTTAGATTAGTACTTTCACGCAACTAAAATAAATTTGGTCAGTTCCTTAAGCAACAAAAAATAGTTCAGACTGAAACAAAACAAAACATTTCAACTGATTAATTTCCCATTGTGCAACAGGAGAAAAACACTGTCTGAATATTAATTACCATAATCCAGTGACAAGAATTGCACAAAATGTCTGGTAATACCTTCTGCCGCAGAATTTTAATTTAGTCCTTTTCTTAGAGTGGTGACCAGCCAAGATTAAAAAGCTCTAATAATTAATTCATAACCGGAGCTAGAAGAGATAGATTTATATCTTGCTCAGGGTTGATTGATTGATTGATTCCTTTTTTACGGTTCACCAACCCTTTGCTGGTTATTTAAAGCCAGATACTCTTTTTAAACTGTAAGAATTTGGCGTGGGGAGAGATAATAATGATTTACTGATGCAAGTCTTGGTAATTAACCTATAGCTTGGGTGACAAGAGATGGATTCATACCAAATTTAAGTTTAATTTATATGAAATGGGAAGAAATATTAATTGGGTGGGGCCCCAACCTCAGGGGGGATCCCCTTTGATCAAAACGAAATATACTTGTCCAATTACCCAGGGCAATCTAGTTTCAGAATATATATGGTTATGAGGGTTTATATATATATATATATGTATATATAGAGAAAATAAAGCATAATATTGTTCTTAAAAAAATCCACATTACAACCAAAAACGTTTGTGGGTTCTCTTTCTTTTTAATGTGTATACTTTTCTCCCGTTGGAACAACTATAACCTCTTCCTTTTATATATATACATACACACACACACATATATATATATATATATATATATATATATATATATGTGTGTGTGTGTGTGTGTTGTGTGTGTGTGTGTGTTTATATTATATATATGTATATATATATATATATGTATTATATAGGCATATATTATATATATATTATATATATGTATATATTATTTATATATTATATATATGTATATATTATATATATATTATATATGTATATATTATATATATATATATATATATATATATATATATATATATATATATATAAAGTTGTAGTGTCTGTCTGTCTTTTTGTATAAAGACAGCACTGAATTACTGAAGGAGAGTTCAGGATCATGACTAAGTGTAGACACGTTAAGAAGTTCAATTTGGGGTTATTTGAACCCTGATAAATTTTGAAAACTCTCAAACACTAATATTTCATGGTTATAATTTATTACATTGGAATCGTAATCACGATCCAAATCATCAGACCTACAAATTCAAAAATGGGAATTTATATATATATATATATATATATATATATATATATATATATATATATATATATATATATATATATATATTGACCACTAATATTATCTATATATATATATGTGTGTGTGTGATTTTTTAAATCATGTTTTATAACGATAAAAACTTCATAAGAAAGTGTTTTAAAATTTTAAATACAAAGTTTAACTGCTGTCCGAAGATTTCTTGACGCTTTATAGATGTGTTGCTTTTTTTTATTTTTTATTTTATTTTATTTTTTTCAGGTGACGTCGGGGTTAGACGAAACGGAGGCAGAAAAGCTTCGCTATTGTTTTAAGTCAGTGTAGCGATAAAACAAAAAACTGTCGAGGCTGTCATTCGTATTAGCTCAAGTTATTTCAAGACGTTAAACCCTTTCGCGATTTTCTCCAAACAATAAATTGACGTCAGAGATCAGTTCAGAAAGTGTCGCTAAATTTGCTGAGATTATTTTGTAGTGGCGATGCGGGCATTTAAAACGCAGCGAAATGGAAACCGGAAAACCAGATCACAGCTGAAGCAGCTCGTGTTTGTTCACTGGCGATCTATGTTCAAACTCAAGTGTCGGCAGCAACAATTTATTCCTGTATAACAGTCTTCTTAATTCTTTTCTTCTATTGTCCTCTCTCTTTAATAATAGTTTTTTTTTTTCTCATATACTCTAACATTCAGAAACCTCTTGCGTCTTAGTGGTTTTATTTCCTTGCTTGGGCTGAAATGATTAAAAAAAAGATATCCATCCATTAAAGAATAGTTAATATTTATTATTGCAATGAGAATTTTTTTTCGAATATTTAAAACTAGCTTAAAAGCCACCCTATCGTATATAATTAGGTCTTCATCACTATAGGTAGGGAGGAGTAGATGCGATAGGCATCAATAAACTACAGAAAGAACTCAACCTTGATCGCTGCATTGAAGTATTACATTAATATCTAAACTTACCTTTTAAAAGTTCAATGATAATTCTTTCGTCGTCAATTAATTTAAAGACAATTTGATGTACGTAGGTCCTTACTTCCCGTATAAAAAATTATTTTTATTTCATCGGTGACTTTCGCTGGATTTCGCAATCCATTTCGATTATTCCCAAATTTATTTCCAAGTTATAAAAATTGTTATCATACATAAAATATTCGTCGCAAAAATATACGTAAAAATTATCGCCAAAAACAAACGCAGTAATGAAAACTTGGGAATCCAAAATTTCTTGATTGCGGGTCTGGATCCGACCCGGAATGTTTTTAATTTGTTCATGGAGTCCGCCTGATTCCAAAATGGTATGATACATTTGGCTACGACTTCTAGGAGGAAAGTTGAAAAAGTCTGACACACTGACATTCGCATTTATTATATAGATGAAGAAGATGAGCTATTGAAAGTTAGTTAGAGTTGTGTCCCTTTAACTGAAAGAATGTGACCCAGTGACACAATGGTATTCGCATTACATATATATATATATATATATATATATAGGTAACTACACTCGTCTCGGAAAACCTTCGGTTTCTTGATTTGCTAATGGTGAAATCAATCTCGAAGGAAAAAAAGGTTTAAAAAAAAAAGAAGGAGCTATGAACATGAACGTCTGTAGAAAATAATCGTACAGCATACAAGTCCAAAGCCGAAAGAAAAAAAAACCGATCCGAGTAATCAACTAACTAAGAAAGTCCTCTTCTCCCCTGATTATAAAGTTGTTTAACCGTTTTTGCCCGTGTTTGTCTCTAAATCACCCCTCCCTTTTAAGCCGTTTCGAATAAATTTCTCCCCCACCTTCCAATTTGTTGTGTTGTGTTTTTGTTTATTTTTGTTTTTTTTTTTAATGTTTGGTCACGTGGTCTTGGTCTTTTGTTTTTGCCTATAAGTATACAGTTTTACCTCTTTAGCCAGCTTTCCCTGACGATCCGCTTATGTGAAACCTTGGTAGGTTTGTCTGGCTCTCTAGGTTTGACTACATATATATATATATATATATATATATATAGAGAGAGAGAGAGAGAGTGATTTACGTCGTTTTTAAAGAAATACTAGACGACCTGTGACCCGTTGGGTCAACATTGTTGTGGTACTGTTTACATTTAGTTTCATGAAGAGTTTGTGAAAGTAGAGATATTTTAAAAATACATTTATTTGCAGTTATTGAAGTTGCTTTCAACATTAAAAAAATGTCAGTTTGAAGAAAGTTGAAATAAAAAATATTTAAAATATTGTTTGTTTAAAGAAAGTTGAAATATAAATAAGCGCCCACGCAATCACGGGAAGGTGGAAAGAGAGAGAGGAGGAAAGAGAGAGAGGAGGAAAGAGAGAGGTAGGAAGAGAGAGATGAAAATAGAGAGGTAGAAAGAGAGCGATGTGGAAAGTGTGAGATTAAAAGAGAGGTGGAAAGAGAGAGATGTAGAAAGAGAGACGTGGGAAGAGAGTGGGGGTGGAAGGAGAGTGGGGGTGGAAAGAGAGAGATGAACAGAGAGAGGTAGGAAGAGAGAGATGAAAATAGAGAGGTAGAAAGAGAGAGATGTGGAAAGAGAGAGATGAAAAGAGAGAGAAGTGGACAGAGAGATATGTAGAAAGAGAGACGTGGAAAGAGAGTGGGAGTGGAAAGAGAGAGAGGTGGAAAGAAAGAGAGAGGTGGGTTGAAAGTGAGAGCGATTTTTTCTCCATTTTCTTCTCTCCCCCACCACTGCTTCCTACACGATAATAAATTCATATCTTTCTTTCACTCACTCTCTATATATGACTTCTGGCAAACACACAAGCAATGTTCACAGACTTTTATAGTAATAAAGATCAGTAATATCAACAGGAGTTTTAATTAAGCTTTTATTTATTTATGTTATGCTAGTGAAACGTCAAGCAGACTTCGAGAAAGTCATTTAACATTATGAACGGCTATAGCTTCTATTTTTTTTAATTTTTAGCTAATCCAAATGACAAAATATATTGCACAGCCAATTGGTCGGAAGGATACCTCCAAAGTAATAGCTGGCATTTAAGTATCTCTTTCTGCTATACTCTCTAACCCCTCATTACGGATACATCTGATATTTACCATTTTTACCCCCCACATGTATATATATGTGGGCATTGTGGTCAACAGCGAGCAGCAACTGTCTGTTACATGTTCAAATGCAAAATATATAGAGAGAGATTGGGGATGGTGTTAGATTTATGTATTTAAGTACAGTACTAGATTGGTAGTAAGGTCTCATTATTTTACAGTTAAAATGGTTAGATGTAACCGTAAGTTCTATGCTGGCAGTTTCCTCTTTTGCACTTCTTGCTTGTGGAACTTTCTTCCAGTTTTCTTTCTTCCCAATCAACTTTGATCTTCAAAAATTTATACGTAATACCAATCATTTCCTTTTGTCTTCTTAATTCTTGTTCTTTTATTGTCTTCTCTCTTTAATAGTAGCTATTCTCATATTCTGTAACATTCAAAAACCCATTGGGTCCTAGTTTCTTCAACACCCAAAAGTGCCACCCTGTATTTTTGAATGTAACTATGCTGACAGGAACTAATTTATAGATTCTGCGAGAAAGCTTACAATCTGGCTTAATCAGTAGTCGAGCAAGACCAAGCAGGCTGAAAATCTCGGCCAGGGCACCTTGTAACGTCCTGCTAATAGAACCAACGACGGCTTCCCAACAGCTTAATCGTCCCAGTATCATTCACAAGACTTCAGGCACTACCCAATCACTGAGATCGTCTCCCAGGTTTAAACTAACAAAAAGTCACGCCCTAAATCGACAATTATGAAAATCGCGCTCGATTTTTTTTGTTGAAATGCTAATGTTCTTACCATTCGGTCATGAGCTCTTTATATCTGAAGCAGAATTAAATGAAAAATAATATTATGCGAATTTCTTTTCATTTCACATATGATGTGATACAGTAAACAGAATCCAATGTGTTTTGATGAATGTCTCCCATAGTCTTCGATAGATAAAACCGGTTGTATTCATATGCAAATCTCCACCTTATAAATAGCAGTTGATACAGCTGGAGGCTAAACAATTCTTAACCATTTGGCTGGCCCCTTTCTCTGCGGTAAAACAGATGGTGGCTTTTATGTTGCCAGCAATGGCAAGAATGGTGTGGTGGATATCGCGACAGAATGAAATCTTGCGAGATGAACGTTATTCGCATCAGGATCTGGTTGTTTTCTTTAAGCCTCAGCTTAAGGTAAAAGTCAGTGCTGATAGAAAGCGTTTGATTTCGACAGATTTCAGCGAAAGGTGGGTGACTGAGTCGAGCCTGGTTCGTGTGAGCCTTGATTTTCTCTTCTAAGTCCCCTTGATGCAACGGGGCGGTTTCCTGAGAACTCTCCCCTGGTTAAGTTAGACACTATTATGTTTTCCTAGTTAATGTGAATAAGTATTGTTCCCGGTATTCTATTTTGTTATGATCCATGTTGGGATTCCCAACCTTCCCAGTTTGTTTTTGACCCCTGTTTTCATCTCGTCTGGGTCAGTCTTTGATTTTTCCCATTCTGTCATTTATTTTCATCCTCCCCATTCCATTAGTGAGTTTGCTTCTTGATATCGGCAGAATACAGCTGCTTCTGTTATAATTTTGAGGGGTACCGCGTCCTACTAACAGTTGTTTTGATTTTATCTGTGTGTTACATTTTTTGTTTGCTATCTGGGTTCATCCCCTTCCCATCATTTCATGAAAGTTTTTATATATTTTTGTAAAAAAAGGGGGGGAATTTGGAACTTTCATCAAATTTTTATGGGATGTTTTGTAGGCCCCTGTGAATATGCGGTATTGTGGTATATGCAGGATTGAGAGGTGATGGATAAGTTCTTGTGGTGCATGATTAAATTGAATGGATCGGATTACCTAGGACTAGGATAGCTAATGAATTCCAGTCCGTTCGTTTTTCCCTTTCGGCCTTGTGACACAATTTCTGTATAAACAGAAATAAATAATCTTAAACTTTTGGCTGGAATTTGTATTCTTTGTATTCTTTGAATATTAGCCCAAGCCCATAGGGATTTCCCCTCGGACAGTACCTCTCCCCTGGTAGGAGGCTGGGTTTATTGTCCAGTGTCTAAAGTGGAGGGGAAATGCGCAGCCTGGCCGTTAAACCCAAACTAAACCGCGTCACATTGTGTCACATCCGGTTGCGACGTGAGCACCCTGGTTATTACCACAAATCCTAACCTTTGAATATTAAGCCAGGCTCCAGGGCGTTTTCCCACCAAGCAGTAACACAATTACCAGAAATCCTAACCTTGAAGATGAAACTACTAGAGGAATAGAAGTGAATACTTTTAACTAATTATAGTTTACAACAGAACCTATACCTCAGTTTCTTTTGTTTGAGAGTGTATTCATATAAGCTACCAGAACTTGATCTTCTGTCTTTTTATGTGCCGTGTCCCTTCAGGACGTAGGCGACCATGGGTCTTCACTTCTCCTATCCCTTGTAGCGCTCAATAAATTTTGTTCCTTTGCTACTTTCCCCCCCAGGCCCTCTTCTGTCATCCACTTGCTTAAGCCCGCTAGGTATATCATACGTTGCTTTCCCTTGTCTCACTTTCCTCTATTCGACCTGTGAGTATCAGATTCTCCAAGCCCTCCTTTCTCATTACGTGTCCCAGAAATTTCAGCTGCCTCTTCCTGATGTTAAGTGTAAGCTTCCCCCTTGTTTGCATCCTCTCCAAGACCTCAGCGTTGCTCACACGCTCAACCATGATATCCTTAACATCCTTCTGTAGAACTATACCTCCGGCGCCTCGAGTCTCATCTTTGAGGAGACCGTCCAACATTCGCTGCCGTAAAGAAGGACAGATGTCACGTAGCAGCTGAGTATTCTTTTCTTTGTGACCAAAGAAATCCTCCTGTCTCGTAATACTCTGCCTAGCTTTTGGAATGCGTCCTTGGCCATCCCAATACATCTTCGGATCTCAGCGTCGCATTTAACGTCCTCTGTCAAAACACTTCCCAGATATTTAAATTTCCGCACCTGTTGTTTTTAGTGTCCCCGTATTGTAAAAACCCGATTATGAGGAGAGGCCCCTACATGGAAATGAAAACTCCTGACAAAACTTTTACAACGTAAGTTATTCATTTTGTGCGGGGGATGAATTAATATTTTTTCACTGTATATTTCTTTCACAACTCGAGAATCGACATATTCTTTTTTCTTTTATATTTTAGCGCATCAACTGGGACATTGAGGATTGTCTACCCGGGGGACTTTCTTCATGTCGACGTAATGTAGTGCTTGCTTTCATTTTCCCATTCATTAAACCAATTTTCAGTAAATTGTCATCCCGAAGTCATAAACTTGAACGAGGAGCAGAATAGCCTTCCTTCGCTTTCGGAATAGCATAACCAATATCTTGTTTATTGATTGTTCGGGGAGTTATAAAAAATGCGTCATATAAAGTTCTCTAACAGCATCGACCTTTCTTTTTCTTGTTATACAATCGAACGGGCGAAGAGAAGTCGCCATTAGTATGATGCTAATCAACATTTTCCTTGGCTATCAAATATTATCAAGAGAGTTTTACCATGTTGGAATATTACTAGAAATTTTTTTTCGATTCGTTTTTTAATTTCACTAAATGCTGGCAGTTGATGTTAGTCAGTCATGTGCCATGCGTGATACACGCTTAGGCGATCATGTATCTTTCGATACATGACTGACGAGGCAGGAGGTTGCCATTTCTTTCTGCGGTAGAATAGTTGCCATCCAAGGTTATAGAACCCGGTCTGTCCTGCTATTTATCCATAGCTGGGGAGAGAAGAGGATTCAAACCTTCCCCAAGGGTATTAGCACGTAAGTGAATGTAATGGATTTAACTGGAATTCGAACTCGGCTCTCCGATTTCTCAATCCGAGCCGTTATCCATTACTTCACCGTGCCTCCTCTAGTTGATGTACGTCTTCTATTTGCCCGGTTTCTTCAGAATATGTGTTTATAAAGATGTATAAAATAAACATTGTGACAATATCTTTTAAATGTTATATATATATATATATATATATATATATATATATATATATATATATATATATATATATACTAGCAGCATGGCCTGGCGTTGCTCATGCTTGATTAAAAAATCGCACGACTCATACAGCAATCGTTATCACTTGACTTAAAATGTTTTTGCCTTTCCTTGCCTTTAAAGGAGCGCCCTTTGCCGTGCTGATGTTGCTACATGCCTTACTTCTTGCCTATCTCACACTGCGAATTTTTTCTAAGCTCTATACTAAACAAAATGAACACAAAACGATCAACTTTACAAAAAAGGACTCGTAACTGGAAAAACCCAATGAAAAAAGAATGTTAACAACAAATACTTTTTCACACCCAACCCAGTTCAGCGGAATCAAAATCAACGTTGAGTTTAAGCAAGCGAATGAGCCAATTGAAGTAAAGTGCCATGCAGATTTAAATTTTTCCCACTTGTGACGAATGCAGCTATCGATTATTTTTTGCATGCTAGTTAACATTCGTGTCAGTCAGCTGTTGGCTCTCACGCTGGCCAATAGAATCTTCCTGCCTGTTCCTGGCAGCCAGCTTTAGGCTGTCACTCTGACCAGTACAAAATGGCCGCAAACTACATGAAAACTGCTGTAGAAGCATGAAAAAATCAATTATTTCCACTATGGATGGGAGTTGGGAAATGCAAAGTCGGTCTTGGTCTTCCCGCTAACTTAGAGCA